TCTCCATTCTCCTCTCCGGATCTTGGGCACGCACGCACACGCGCCCAGCGTGAGTTTAAGCTACCGGGTCCGGGACTCGAACCGCAGTCGACTGCATGGGAGTCCAGCGACATAGCCATTTCGCTAACTGCTGGTCCCTCTCTCTCTCAGCACAGATGCTGGAAAGGGGAATCTTCCTGATTCTGGGGGTCCTGAGACCACGGCCCTTACCATTAAGGGTGACCTACTGAACCTCTTGTTCCTCTCACCCTAGGACAAGTTCACGTGCGTGTTCACTTACGCTTCTCAAGGCGGGACCAACGAGGTGAGTGATGCTCCGCACGGCTTAGCGTGGTGGTATCCGCAGACAGCCGCCCCTCGGACAGCGGGGTTGGGGCAGGTGTAGGTCCGCTTCCCTAGGTGAGCTAGGCGTCCTTTACCTACTGACCGGGAGCGATCCGGTCGCTACTCCACCGAACCGGCCACCAAGGGAGCTGACTTGGGACACAAGGAGGGATGTTGGTGTGGGATGTGACCTACCCTTCTCAGGGACTCCCTAGGCACGTCATCTTCATTTTATGTGCCGGCAAGTGGCATGGTGGTTAAGTACTGGACTCCCACATGGCCTACCATGGTTCAAGTCCTGGACCTGACAGCTTGCTTTCTCACTGTCTCTCTCTCTCTCTGTGTCCCGCTCTGGTCAAATTTTTTAAAAGTTAAATGAAATAATTATCTTCAAAAGTAAACAAAAATAATAATAAATAAATTTCCACAAACTTAGCAGCTTAGTAATAACACCCAGCAGGAGGCATGTTGCTTAAGGTGCCGGCCTCCCACATGGTGGTTCGAGTCCTGAACATAGCCACACGCTTTCTCCTTTCTGTCACTCTGTTTGTCCCTCTCTGGCGAGCGCGTAAGGCCTAGAGCAAATTAAAAAATAATAACAATAAAATTAAATAATTCAGACAAAAAAGCTATGGTGTTAAACAAAAATCACACCCCTTTGAGGCCAACTGGCCGTGTGGTGATTAACACAGTGTCTGCAGAGCTGGACCCCCGAGGGGAAGGTCCTGGGTTTGCACCCCGAGGCACACCTCGCATGCACCTGCCCACGATAGCGGCTGGCCGAGGCTGGGGGTGGATGGCGGCATGAGGCCCTGTTGGGGTTCTCTGCCTCCCTCTTTCTGTGTAGATAGGTGCACTAGAAATGCTGCAGTAAGTACAGCCCTGGGCATTTCTCTGTGGGCCGGAGGGCTGGGTCAGCTCCGCACCGTGCTCCCTAACGCCGGACTCAGGGTGTCTGGGCCCGGCTTTTACTGGAGGCGAAGAGGCCTCTTTCAGCCTCTTTCAGGAGGTCGGCAGAATTCAGTTCTTTATGGGGGTAGGACGAAGGGCCTCCTTTCTGCTGGCTGGTGGCAGAAGAGTGACAGTGGGATCAGCGGATGGTGCAGTGGTGAAGGCACTGAGCTGCTGAAGTTCACGTGGTCAGCCATGGTTCGAGTCCCAGACCTGGCACCTTGAAAAGCATGCCGGGTGTGTGTGTGCATGAGTGCCCAAAGTCCTGGGAGGAGAATGGAGGAGATGGGATTGTGGCATGGTCATGGCCCCAGGCGGTGCTTTCTCGCCTCCCCTCTCTCTGTCTCTTCTGCAAAAAGTTAAAAGAGAAAGCGGAAGTTCCGGCAGTTTAAAGGCTAGGGCTGAGGGTGGCCTTGCAGAGCAGGCAGTGGGAGGGGATGGGGTGCTGGCCTACCCCGCAGTGAGCCGGGCTCTGCCACCACCGTGTGTGCTCACAAGAGGGCGCTGCTCCAGGAAACAGCACAGCTGGCACCTCGGTTTCAGCCCCGTGCGACCAAGCCTAGGGAGCCTAGGGAGCCTAGGGAGCGGGGACAGGCACAACCGCGCCTGAGCCTCGGGCCTCCCAGCGTTGTTGTGAAGCTGCTGGGGGAGTAGTCATTCCGGAAGTAGCGGGTTGAATGCCCCCCTGCCCCCACCAGGGTCCAGTTCTGGTCCCCTGAGCCTGCAAGCGTGGCCTCGTGTAGAAGCGTTTTGCAGATGCCATGCACTGAAGGGTCGAGGTGAGGACGTTGAGCTAGGTTACCAAGGTGACCCTAACTGCAGTGAGGGGCCGGCAGGTGGCGGGTGGTTAAGGCGCCGGACTCCCACAGGGCTGACCATGGTTCAGTCCCGGACCCGAGGCTGGCTTTCTCACTGTCCTTCTCTCGCTCTCTGTCTTTCTCACTATCACTCTGTCCCTCTGTGGTCAAATTAAAATAAATAGATAATGTTAAATAAAATGATTATTTTCTTTTTTTAAAAAAAAGGGGGGCTGGCAGGTGGCCTGGTGGTTAAGGCACTGGACTCCCACGTGGCTGATCATAGTTCAAGTCCTGAACTCAAAGCCAGGCATGATGGTTCAAGGCCCAGACCTGGTGGCTTGCTTTTTCACTCTCTCTCTCTCTCTCTCTCTCTCTCTCTCTCTCTCTCTTGCTCACCCTCTCTGGTTAAATTTAAATAAATGTATAAATAAATAAAGTTAAATAAAATAATTCTTTAAGAAAAAAGAAGAGGCACATGGATGTTTGATAATTTGATAGGAAGCTTGGCAGATCGAGGAGGCCGTGCGAAGGTGGAGGTGGAGACCGGAGTGCTGCGGCCATGAGCCAGGGCGCCCCTGCACCCCGGAGGCCTTGGGGCAGGAAGGTTTCTCTCCTAGTGCTTTCGGGAGGTCACGGCTGCCTGCACTTTGATTTTTTTTTAGAGATTTTTGCTATAGGGTGCGTGCACTCGCCAGACAGACAGAGACAGAGACAGAAAGTGAGAAATCACCCCCTGGGGGATGGCCACACCGCCCTCCTCCATTCTCCGCCCAGGATCTCGGCACGCACGCACACGCGCCGGTGTGTTTTAAGCTGACTCGGTCACAGCTATGCGAGGATCAGCGGCATGACCAGTACGCCATCTGCTGGCCCCAGATATTATTTTTTAAATGTAAGCAAGTTTTTTTGTTTGTTTTTTATCGTAGGTTTTAGCCACAGGGCACGTGTCCTTGTCAGAGACAGACAGAGGACACGTGAGAAACCCCCACGCAGGAGGGTGGCCACTGGCGTCCCCTCTCCGTTCCCCTCTCAGGGTTTTGGGCTTGCACGCACATACGTCTGGCCTGATTTTCAGGCCTCCAGGTCCAGGACTTGAACCATGTCTGGCCAAATGGGAGCCCAGTGCCTTAACCACCTCGCCACCTACTGGCACCTGTCTCCGTATTTAAGTGGGTCGGTTCGGGGGGCTCTTAGGAGAGGCGCCATGTTTCATGTAGGGACGTGGGATGGCCAGGTCCCCTGAGCACAGATGCCACGAAACCGTGGCCCAGAGGGCCAGGGCAGGCGGGGCCACGTGGTGCGGAACGGGTCGGGAGGGAGGGACAGCGGTGTGCGGTGGACGGGGCGAGCCTGGGGCTCCCGGGAGAGGTCTGGGCTGACTGCTCTGTCCACAGCAATGGCAGATGAGCCTGGGGACCAGTGAGGACCACCAGCACTTCACCTGCACCGTCTGGAGGTGAGCCGGCCGGGCCAGAGGGTGGGGGCCGTGGGGAAGCCCAGGCGCAGTGATCCTGGACAGGCCGCAGCTCAGAGCTCCCGGCAGGGGAGGGCCACAGGGAGCGCCCCACCAGCTCCTCCGGCAGCTGTTGAAGTGGAGGCGCGCCTCGACCTTCTCAAGTTCAGCGGTGGTATTTCGTTTTATTTATTCGTTTATTTTAACCAGAGAGAGACACAGAGAGAGAGAGAGAAAGAGACAAAGCCAGGTCCAGGACTTGAGCCAGGTGGGAGTGTCCACCTTAACCAGCATGCCACCTCCTGGTCCCTACAGTCTCTTTTTGTTTTGGAGAGGTTTTTGCTATAGGGCACGTGCACTCACCAGAAAGACAGACAGAGAAAACGAGAAATCACCCCCAGGGGGGATGGCCACGCCTCAATCCCTTCTCCTCCACTCTCCTCTCGGGATCTTGGGCACGCACACACACGCACCTGGCATGAGTTTAAGCCACTGGGTCTGGGACTTGAACCCCAGTCGACTACATGGGAGTCCAGCGACATAGCCATTACGCTAACTGCTGGTCGCTTAAGAGAGAGGTTTTTGCTATAGGGTGCATGCACTTGCTGGAGAGACAGAGAGAGAGAGAGAGAGTGAGAATCACCCCCGGGGGGATGGCCATGCCACAGTCCCTTCTCCGTTCTCCTCTCGGGATCTTGGTTTCTCACACACACACACACCCAGTGTGAGTTTCAAGCCGCCGAGTCCAGGACTCGAACCGCGGTCAGCTACGTGGGAGTCCGGCGATGTAACTATCACGCCAACTGCTGGTCCCTCCAGAACATTCTTATCCCTGGAAGGAAGCCCTGCCCTGTTAGCGACCAGTCCATCCACGCCCAGCCCCTCGCCGCAGTCACCCTCCCTGTCCCTGTGGACCCGCCTGTTCTGGGCATTTCACATATCGGGGTCCCCCTGAGCATGGTGCTTACGAGGCTCAGCCGCTCCGCAGGTGTGTCCAGGCTCCCTCCTGTTCACGGCTGAGTACTATTCCAGGAGGCTTCAAGCCCAAATGCGGGCGCTCAGTGCCCTCCTGAAGCCAGGGGCCCTCGCGGGAGGCCAACCAGTGTAGCACCCCGGGGGTGGACGCGCCCTGCCGATGAGGCAGCCGGGTCGGGGGACGTGGGGGTCCTTGGCACGAGGTGGGAACACAAACACAGCTGCAGAGAGCATGCCCTGGGGACAGCACGCCCTGTGGGGACCCCAGCCCTCCTCATCGGGCCGCCCTAGGCAGGTCTGCACCAGGTGTCTGTTCCTAGAATGCTCTCGGGGCTGATGAGCCCGATGGCCCTACCTTTACGGGTCGTGGACTTCACCCAGATGCAGACCCTGAGCCCATGCACGGCCTCTGCGCAGGGCCCGGCCCCTGGGTCCACCGTGGTGTGGTCTGGGAGGTGGTGTTGCGGGGGCCCTCCCGTCCTCACTGGGGTTGTTGGTCATGTGGGTGGTGAGCCACAGACAGGATGCAGGAAGGTGGCCAACCATCATCCATCTTGTCATGTCCCCTGGGCCCGCCACCCTGGGACGGGTCAGCCCCCACAACGTGGTCCCCGTAAGCTGTCATTTGGTGCCAGACACGGCCCGGGGGTGCAGAGCCAGTGGGCCCCACCCTGGGGCAGGCTGACGGTCCGCAGATGGGAGGCGACTGACCGGCGAACCCCGCGTAATGACGGGACTGGGTGCAGGACGGGTCTGCCCGGCCATTCTGGGGGAGCCTTGGGGCCTTGGCCAGCATGGTGAGCGGGGACCCTGCTCGAGTGCCTCCCGGCCTCGGTGCTGCAGAAGCCAACAGGGTCCCCGGGGCACAGAGTGCCGCCTCCCAGGGCCAGGCCCTGCAGGCCTGGGCATCGGGGCAGGGAGTGGGCTTGCCTGAACCTGCCCATGGCGGCCGAAGCCATGC